GAAAAACATCCTCATTCCTCCAGTTGAGGATTAAAAAAGAAAAAAGGTTTGATTACTGTTGGCCTGGCCTATTTCACAGCACTGCTGATAGAAGGGCACTCGTGAGGCTGGGCGCTTTAAAACAGTTCACCTCAGCTAATGTCACTATCCTGGGATTTCTGACGTTTGCTGTTTAGATATTGTTAGGTGATATACTCTGTTATTTTGACATTCAAGCTGAATCTTTGAGGAGGCTTCATGAATTATAGCATAGTCAGTGACACTTTACGGGCTATTTTGTGGGGTGAGCGTACCAAATACAGGTTTAAAATTTTTTTTAATGTATCTTATTGATTTTTTTATAGAGAGGAAGGGAGAGGGATGGAGAGCTAGAAAAATTAATGAGAGAGAAACATCAATCAGCTGCCTCCTGCACACCCACTACTGGGGATGTGCCCGCAACCAAGGTAACATGCCCTTGACCGGAATCAAACCTGGGACCCTTCAGTCCGCAGACTCACGCTCCATACACTGAGCCGAACCGGTTTGGGCAGGTTTAACTTTTTTAAAACACCTCTCCCTGGGACACCTACATGAGAAAAGAAAGTAGTATTTACTGAGCATCTCATTGGGGCCATGTTCTCTCAACTTGTATCTGTTTTAATTCTCAAAAAAAGCTTTGTGCTATTCCTCCCCCCCCCCCCCCCCCCCCCCCCCATTTCTCAGGTGAGCAACCAAAAGTACAGAAAATTTAAGACGGTGACTGAACTATATATTTTCACCTGACTGATACCAGAGCACCCAACATTTGCTCTCCTAAAAAGGGAAGACCTGATAAATGGCAAGGATGTCCCAAGGAAACTCTTGTTAGGATTTTGGACTGTGGGGAACAGTAGGGAAAGAGAAAGGAAGCCATGTGAAGGGGCAGCCATTGAGTTTTGAGCCCCTGGTGGGAAATGGCAGAATGTTTCAAAGCTCAGAAAGTTATGTCCAGCTGGCCTGGCTCAGCGGTTGAGTGTCAGCCTGTGAACCAGGGGGTCACAGTTTGATTCCTGATCAGGCGCATGCCCAGGATTGCAGGCTCAATCCCCAGTGGGGGACGTGCAGGAGGCAGCTGATCAATGAGTCCCTCTCATCATTGATGTTTCTCTCTCTCTCTCTCTCTCTCTCTCATAAATTAAAAACTTTCTTTTTTTTCAAAAGAGAAAAAGAAACGCTCAGTTTTGAAGGCTAACTTCCCCTCCTTCATAAATAATCTCAAGGCTCAGCCCTGCGTCCTGCATGGATATCTGTTAGAGAGGTGGAGTTTCTTGGGGCTTCCTAAATCCCATCTCGGGAGCCTGATCCTCCGGTGTGTGACTCACCCTCAATGCAGCAGAAGAGGGAGAAGACCAACAAGAAGCGTTTGTCCATCCTGACACGGAAGAAAAGAAGCCAGGGGCTGCCAGGCCAGGTCCTTAGGCTTCAGGGAGGAAACTTTCGCCTCGGGGCAGGGATCCGTCATGCAGAAGGGAACCAGTCACACAAGGTTTCCACTGGGAGCTCAACCTCATTTTTCTCCACCCCACAACCAAGAATAATGATCACTGGTAAATGCTGGGGTTTCCATTAAGCCAACTTCGTTTTTTTCATATAACCATCATGGTAATTATGATTAGCATTATAGTTACAATATGATAACTTTTGTTCCGATTTCCCTCAGGAGGAAACTGGGTGTTGGTGAAGGTTAGTATCTGACCCAAGGCTGCATGTCTAGTGACTGATAGTGCCACTCCTCAAAAGCTTTCTAGTTTATTTATTTTTTAATATTTTATTGATTTTTTTACAGAGAGGAAGGGAGAGGGATAGAAAGCTAGAAACATAGACCATCTGCCTCCTGCACACCCCCTACTGGGGATGTGCCTGCAACCAAGGCACATGCCCTTGACCGGAATCAAACCTGGGACCTTTCAGTCCTCTCTATCCACTGAGCCAAACCGGTTTCGGCTAGACTTTCTAGTTTAGAGACCATCTTTGGTCTCTAGATTCCATGCCTCTTGGAGATTTATTCACACACTCAGCAAACATTTATTGAGTGCTTTATGTGCCCGACACACTTCCATGTCTGAGAGCAGAGCCATGAATAACTCAGATGAGCTCACCTAGCTCCTTACCTTGTGGGTGAAAAAACAGGAAAATGAGATGAAAAGATGTACAATCTATGACCAAATCTCCAGCCAGTTGTTCCCTCAGCCTCTGCGTTCTTCAGGCTCTCTCTTCCATTTAGAACTTGTGATTCTCAGCCCAGAATTCTTTCCCCTTGCCAGAAATCCATCCCCCCTGGCCAGGGACTGTGACATGTGTGGGGCAGTGAAATCCCCCCTGGAATGATCATACAACTTGAACTTAAGCAAATGTATATTGTGAATCTGGCCAGTTTTGTCCATGATGTAGGTATCTAGCTCTTTGAAAGTTAACTCAGTTATGGTTAACCATGAGTCAAGCAGTAGAAAATAATGACCAGCCCTAGCATTCTAAATCTAAGCCTATCAGTCAGTGTGCTGATGGGACTTTGTCTAGACTCTAGAGATACCAAGAATCTTCCATACTGAACTAATTCTATGACATGCTCTTTAGTTGTAGGAACAATACATTCAATAAAACATAGTAAGTCTGACATTTTGAGACATCAGACATAGATTGCATTAAATAAGGTCTGAGCTCAAATGTCCCAAAATTTACAATCATCCTTGCCTGTGAAGAGAGCCAGATAGGCTTTAGATATGAGGGAATTGGTGGTGGGGGGGGGGGGGGGTTGGCAGGGGAGAGGGGAAAATGACTCTAGAATGGAGAGAGAGATTGTGAAGTCTTTACTCTGTCATATTTTTTAATGTATTTTATTGATTTTTTTTACAGAGAGGAAGGAAGAGGGATAAAGAGTGAGAAACATCGACCAGCTGCCTCTTGCACACCCCTACTGGGGATGTGCCCGCAACCAAAGTACATACCCTTGACCAGAATCGAACCTGGGACCCTTTAGTCCCCAGGTCAACACTCTACCCACTGAGCCAAACCAGTTTCTCCATACTCTGACATATTTCTGGTGAGGGTGTCACATACTGGATGGAATGTTTCAGGACTTTCCAATATTTCTATTATACCTATTATATTATATATAGGTATTAGGACCTATGGTTCTAGAGTCATTGGATAATAGAAATAGCATTTTCCTCAGAGTCTGGAGCCCTGTGGTTGACTGCAATGCAACTCATGACGTCATTACCAAGCCACTTATCTATGAAGTGAGATTTCGAGCATTTTTGTGATCATGTACAACTTTAACATTCTGTGGCTCTATGATGTAAATCATGAGGATGGGTACCAAGTTCTGTTCTTTTGACCTAGCACCCTGCTTAGCACATGGTGATGAGCCGAACATAGGATGACTGAGTGCGGAAGTGAATGAATGAAGGTTTCCATCTCACCTGATTCCAGTCTCCATAACTGAGAGAGTCAGCGGGGCATGGAACCCAGATTAATGCACTCCCATGCTAAGAAGCTGCCACTCAGCATAGATGCCATTCACCCTGCTCTGAGGAGATGAAAGCAGAACATCATGTCCTTGTGTTTATGGTCTCGGTTGGCTCCAGGATGAGGGGGCTGAGAACTTGGTGATACCACAGATCAGCAACCACTTATTGATAATATGAGTTTCTAAAATAAAAGCTCAGTTTGAAAAAGTTGGCATTTTCCTTTTTTTTATTTTATGTTTTTATTGCTTTCAGAGAGGAAGGGAGTGAGAAAGAGAGATAGAAACATCGACGATGAGAGCAAATCATTGATCGGCTGCCTCCTGAAAGCAAACCAGACAAATTTCACCTCGGCTTACCTTTTTCCTGAAGTCTCCCTTCCCTACACCTCAGAAATGGCACCCCAGTGTTCCCCCACAATCAGACTACACCTGGAGTCCTGAGCTTCTTTTCTGGGGCTGAGATTATTCTAAGAAAGTCTGAGATTATTCTAAAGAGAGTAACTAGGCTAGTGAAGATAGCTAAAAGGAACTAAGATGTCCAAATCCTGTCTAGATATATTTGAAAGAGGAAATTGACTTTATTGCACAGCTCGATTAATATATGTATACCAGAGGCCCGAAGCACGAAATTCGTGCAAGGGGCTTGGCTCTCTCAGGCCTGGCTTCATCCAGAAGGTCATCTGGAAGGTTGTTCGGCTATCTGGTCTAATTAGCATATTGCACTTTTATTATTATAGGTGTCAGCTCATTGTGGAAGAGAATGAATTTTAAACTAGATGCCTTAGGGGTAGTGAGACCCCAGTGGGTGGTTTTGCTCTGGGAACATCGCGGTACTGTCTGTCCCTGAATTTTTATGATTCTATAATTTAGAAGAAGTGCCCAAGGACAGATCACTGGAGGAGATTAACCAGCACGTTCCTCGGGAAAGTGTGCTGACCCAAGCCCAAGGATGTCCGCTCTGTTTTTGCTGGGCCTACTCTCTCTGGTCTGCACCAATAATGGTAAGTCTTGGAGGCAGAGGGGCAGCTGGTTGTTGCTCAAGAGATGGGCAGACACTGGGGGAGGCGACACGTCCAGAATTGGCTTTGGGACTTTGGCAGTTTTATGTGAAATTATTTCAAGGAAGACTTTTCTTCTTTTCACAGGTAATCTTCAGAGGATTCTTTTAGGTACGACCATGCCTAATCTAAAGTCCTTGGTAAACAGGTCTTTTGTGATGTGGTGAGAAGTAACCCTCCCCTCCATCTGCAGCAAGGGCTAGAAAACACCCTTACTGTAGTGTCCTCTCTTCTCCCAGACCAATTTAGTTCATTCCAGACCAATTTAGTCTATTCCTTTCAGTAAAGGAGACTAAAATCCTCTTTGTTACTCCCTTTCCTCCTTACTGGACAAAAGTCATCTAGACTTTGACTTGACAAAGGGCTAAATCCTTGTGAGGGTCCACAGATACCATTTATAGGGACTTTGGCCTTTTGAACTCATAGGCAACATTTGATGTATGTCTCTATACATGATAGCTTTCATGGAGATTATCGAAGGATTCAATGGCCTGAGGACGAGTAGGAGCCAATGGCAACAGCACATTCCTGTAGGGAAGCCCCCCCTAGCCTGGAGAACCCTCTCTGGAGTACATTCTTTAAGCACCTCTTTCTGTGTCTGGCAGAGCCTTCAGTATTATGTTATCAATGTAAAACATTTCATCTTGGGATGTGCTATGACGTCATGAAATCCTGCCACCTGCAGTATCAGCAGTCCTGTGCTACTGAGAACATTTACATCCTTACAAAAAAAGGTAGTGCAGGGTACAGCGTGACTGAGAAGTATCCACCACCCTCCCTTGGAGACTCGGCTGTCCTTCTGCCCTCACTCAGAGTGTGTGAGAGAATGGGATGGGGAGGGGGGAGGTGAAGGAATGGGATGGGGAGAGATGGGGTGGTCCTCTAGAGGGGAGGGCAAAGATGCACTTTTCCTTAAGGCCACAGTGCGTGAAGAAGCAGCTGGTATGCCTTCTTGGTTAGGGAATGAAATCCATGGTCTGGGTCAGTAATTAGTAGACTCAGCTTTGTGGCTCATTTGGGCTTAGGGAAAAATTAGGAGGGGCGGTTCCTAGGAATACGGTAGGAGGAAACATAGTCTTTACAGTTGTATTCCCTCTCTTTCACCTCCTCAGGGAAGAGTATATACTATTATTCAATACTGTCATGTATGACCAACTGTGAGGACGTCAACTTCTTGGGCTTTGAGAAGAGGAGAGAGCTCATCTGTTGCAATCATAGTAACTATTGCAACCTCCCCGAGGGATCCTAGCTCGGCATCTCTCCTGGGTTTGGGGTCATTCTTCAACTGCCCATCCCCCTTATTTCTTCCCCAAAACCTGTATTTTGCTCTCCTCTTCTAGCAATGGTAGAGAGTGAGAAAGACAGCTGATAGTAAAAGCAGTCACAGTCATAAGAAGAAATAGAGGAGGGTAGCTGAGTCTCATTAGTTATGGAGTGTTAGACCGAATTTTTTCAAATCTCTGCTGTTTGCCTCTGGCAGGGAGTTTGGTTTCCTCATGATGGTCATGCCATAAATAGGGTTGGGTTTAAAATGATCATTGCCTTGCCGGGACCGGTTTGGCTCAATGGATAGAGCATTAGTCTGCGGACTGAAGGGTCCTGGGTTCGATTCCAGGCAAGGACATGTACCTTTTGTGGGCACATCCCCAGTAGGGGGTGTGCAAGAGGCAACTGATCGATGATTCTTTCTCATCGATGTTTCTAACTCTCTGTCCCTCTCTCTTTCTCTCTGTGAAAAATCAATAAAAAATAAATTTTAAAAAAATGATCATTGCCTATATGGAAATGCCAAGACTTGCTTCAAAATAATCCCAAGCTCGTACTGAGAATTCTATAACCATACTTTACCCTCATCTGTACCCAGTCTTCTGGGTTGGGATTCTTTGACACCTCCAGGCACTCTACCTTTTGCTCATGGGTTATGGAGATAGAAGAGGACGAACTCTAGCTTCCCAATTTTCTGGCAACACGAGCCACTATCTTTCTTTGGTAGAGAGCTCTTTGGTGGTGGGGGTGAGGTGGTGGGGGGGCAGAGTGTAGGAGAAGCAGGAACTAAGCTAGAAAACCTGGGCAGGCATAGAGATAAAGCATCAAGGGAAAATTTAAGGGCATTTCAGTTTGTGGAAACTCAGATTTGGGAGACAATTTGGTGTGAGCGGAGTTACAGGTAGCCAGGTAGCCGTGTAGGGATTGAATTAAGGATGGAGACCTTGCCCTAGCCGGTTTGGCTCAGTGGATAGAGTGTCGGCCTGCGGACTGAAGGGTCCTAGGTTTGATTCCAATCAAGGGCACATGCCCAGGTTGTGGGCTCAGTCCCCAGTAGGGGGCGTGCAGGAGGCAGCCAATCAGTGATTCTCACCATTGATCTCTCTCTCTCTCTCTCTCTCTCTCTCTCTCTCTCTATCACTCTCTCTCTCTTCTCTCTTCTCTCTCTCCCTTCTCTCTCTCTCTCTCTTTCTCTCTCCCCCCCTCCCTTTCTTTCTGAAATCAATAAAAATACTTTCTACAATTTTTTTTTTTTTTTTTTTTTTTTTTTTTTTTTAAGAAAAGGGCTTTTTCTTATTCATGAAGACAGAGCCATGTGTTTATTTAGGAAAGCATTCTGAAGAGGCCATGGCAACAATGCCACCTAGAGGTGAAGCCACAGAAGGACCAGCAATTTCTAGATCTGTTCATTACAAAAGTGATGGCTCCTGCAGCACTGGAAGTTCACAAAGTAGATACTCCATTTGATGTTGTTCACGTTAGCACAGTTCTTCAGACAGCCCATGAAGGTCAACCACGGAGTACCATCACCTGCAGCGGGAGGAGAAACATCAGCACAGAGGCGCTGGCCCAGAAACTTCTGTCCAGACTACCCCAGCTTATATAATAAAAGCGACCTCAGACAATTTAAGGCTCTGTTATTCAAATGGGAAGAATTGGAAGATACTGCTGGTTGGGGGCTTCCCCAATGAAAGGCCATGGTAGAAGCATTGAGGAAAATGTTTTGGGGGCATGGAGGGAGGAGGGGGGCAGGGGGGCAGAAATAATGCCAGCAGTAATCCTGGGGTGGCCAAAGCGGATGCTTCCATTGAGAATCAGCACTGGTTTAAGGAAGAGCTATAAACGCCCAGGGATCACTTAGCATGAAGGGTAGGCGAATAGAGAAGTCCTGATGTTTAGTCTTACCCATCGCGGGCTATTTAAGCCAGTTGCTATTGCTGCTCGAAGCTCCTCTGTGTCCACCGTTGAAAACCACCCAGGAGGACTTGCAGGCAGAGACCCAGACGGGGGGCTGCCCTCCCCGCCCCACACCCAGCTGCTCTCCAGCCAGTTGTTCCCTCAGCCTCTGCGTTCTTCAGGCTTCTCAAAATACTGGCTCTCTAGCTACAGACCTGCCCCTTCGTGATCACCCTCCTCATCTCGTTTCATTCTGCCACGTGATGGGGGTCAAGGCACCAGCCACTCAGAGCTGGGACCACCAGGAGTAAAAGGAGCCCCGCCTCTTTCCTCTGGCTGACACCTCCCTGTCTGCTTCCTCCATCCCTTTTTTTCTTCCCCCTGCCCACCACTTACTGTTTTTTCAACATATGACATTTTTAAAAATTTCTTTATTGATTAAGGTGTGACATATGTGTCCCTATTCCTCCATTACACCCCCCCATTCCTCCCCACTCATGCTCTCACCCCCTGGTGCCTGTGTCCACTGGTTAGGCTTATATGCATGCGCACAAGTCCTTTGGTTGATCTCTCCCATTTACCCCGACCCTCCCCTGCCTTCCCTCTGAGGTTGGATGGCCTAATCGATGTTTCTCCATCTCTGGATCTGTGTTTTTTTTTTGCTCATCAGTTTATGCCACCACTTACTTTTAACAATCGTCCCAACTGTGCAGGCCTCCTCTGTGGTCGCGAAGCATATGCCCCTGCCTTTGGTGCATTTTTGTCCCGGAAACTTGATGTGGCACATGGTGCACTGGACAGAGTCTGTCATTTGGACCAGAGCAGGGACGTGGACGTGAGAGCAGGTCTCACAGGCCCTGGGAGGACCCATCCCCCCTTTCAGGCTGGGATTCAGGTTAAGCCAAGAGAGGCCGTGGGCTTTACAGTCTCCAGAGCCTTCGTCTGAACAACACGAGAGGGGAAAGGAACAGGAAGCGGAACCAAGAGAAGGCTGAGACTGTCAGCTCAGGCCCTCCTCATACTCACGAGCAAACTGGTTTTTATCGATGTAGAGGTGCTGATCGTAGATGGCCCGTGCTGGCAAAGAGAAAGGAAACATGAAGCAAACCTGCCCTTGGAATCCTGGCCCTGCCCGGGGTCTGCCCTCTCTCTCACCCCTAAGGAGCCGCCTTAGGCCATGTCTGCCCCTCCAGAGCCTGGCCACCTATCTCTCCACCCCTTCCAGCTCCTTCCCCACTTCAATGCTCTTCTCCTGCTCCCCTCCCCATTAGGTACACTTCTTTTTTTTTTTTCTTTTTTTTTTTTTTTAAGCCTCACTCTCTTCTTGTTAACCCACCCTGGTGGCTTTTACCCACTTGTTGTCTGGAAGCTGATGGCAACGTTCCCTCTGCCTTATCCTTGATTAACTCACCCTAAGCCTTGCCAACTGCTGTTTGGGTTAGGAGGCCAAACTTAAAAGCAGCCCCCACCCCAGCCCCCTCCTGTGGGAATAGGTTGCCAGGTGTTGAAAGTCTGTGTCTATCTCTAGTGCCTTCCCATCCCCAAGGCCTGCCCTGCCCTGCTCTGCCCTGCCCCTCTCGTCTCCTCCCTCCTCTAACCTTTCCTTCCCCCACTGCTGATCCATGTTTACTCACCTGCATACTCTCTGTCTAAAAACGACCCCGATAGTACTGTTGGGGGAAGAAAGACACATGCTCTGCAGACCTTGTTTTAACAAGTGCCACCTCCCAGCTCCTGTGGAAAGTCTCTCAATTCCTTATAACCCATCCATATTTTCTCCTGGGGGCGGGGGAGGGAAGAGAAGTTACAGCTTTGGTGAAATTCCCAGGGACAGGAATGGCAGCTCTAGGAGGCCCCCGAGAGGACCTCCTTCCTCTCCCTGACCCATCCAGGATCCTTTACGTGTCTCTCCAACCGCCAGCCCTGGGCTCACCTCTAAAGCAGCAGAACAGCACAGGGAGGCCCCGCAGGAGGGACCTGTCCATTTTGAAGGGAGGGAGGGAGAGAAGGAGGAAGGAGTAGATTAGGGCAGGAAGCTGATGTGCCTTTTTATGCACCTGCCCGGAGGGGTTTCCCCTGGAAGGGCCAGGGGCAGGGACACAGTGGAAGTCCTTCAGAGACTCTCCTGCTTCTAGGGACCAGTCATTATGCCACTTCTCTTCAAGAAGAGACTTCTCTCTCCTGCTTTAATACTGACCCACCTGGGTTCTTTGCTTATTGAACCCATTCCATTGACTTACTTTTCTCCTAAAATCTCCTCACATACTCCCCAGCCTTAATATCTCAAAATACCTGATTTTCCTTTTTTAAAATATATTTTTATTATTGATTTTAGAGAGGGAGGGAAGGGGGAGAGAGAGAGAGAGAGAGAGAGAGAGAGAGAGAGAGAGAGAGAGAGAGAGAAACATCAATGATGAGAGAGAATCATTGATCAACTGCCTCCTGCACACCCCACACTGGGGATCAAGACCACAACCCGGGAATGTGCCCTGGATGGGAACTGAGCCATGACCTTCTGGTTCATAGGTTGATGCTCAAGCACTGAGCCATGCCAGCTGATGCTCCTGATTTTTTTTTCTGGGCCCACTCTGTTCCTTCTCTCAGTGCCTCTAACCCTTTTTCTTATCCTCTTATTACACCCCCAAAATAATTATTTTTGTGTCCTAAATTTCAGACCTGTGATTTAAAAGTGTCCAGGATTGCTTTAGACCTTACCTAAGTCTGCAAGACCCCTTTATTCAGGATGCCCCTCTCCCCATCACAATGTTCCGGAGGTTCAATTACACCGGAAGTGTAGCCAGGGTTTATCTCAACTGAGAGTGACCAGGGAGGTCTTCAGTGGCATCCATATGTGTGAGATTAGAAGCCAGTTAGATTAGGGCTAGGGTTTTTGCTTTGCATCTTCGATGTTAGGCAAAATACTAAACATGACATTTCTGGAGAAGAGATTCGCTTTCTAGCTATTACTTTTAAAGGAAACAGGTCGACTCTCTGCAGGGAATTTAGCCAACTATCCTGAGATTTGTTGCTAATCCAGATAGTTCCACACAATGACCTTTCAGAAGAGGTTAATGGGGCTGGTGGCGAGTACCCGGATGTGAGGACAGAGCTCTCAGCTGTGGCCGATCCTACATGTGATGAGGCAAGTCGACTGGATGAAGAAGCACA